GCATCTATATAAACAGAAATTTAAAACTATTAATAAATTATTGAGGGTTGGCAAGTTGTCTCAGTAGGTTAAAGTTCCTGATGCCAAGCCTGCTATCCTAAATTTAATCCCCAGAATCCATAACTAAAGGAGAGAATGAACTTCACAAAATTGTCTTCGGACCTCCACATACATGCCGTGGCCATGTGTATATGCACAAGTGCATACGCACACACACTAATAAATTATTTAAGGGCCAGGGAGATAGTTCAGCAGGTAAAAGTACTTGCCACCAAGCCTGAAGGCCTGTGTTCAATCCCTGGGACCAACATGGTAGAAGAGATATGACTCCAGCAAGTTGTCCTCAGACCTCCCCATATATGCCACACGGCATGCACATACACCTCCCACTTAAATAAACAAATAAATGTAGTAAAAATTATTCTTTTTAAAAAAGGAATGGGTTTCAGGTGTGTACATACTAACAGTACATAATGAAAAGATAACAAACCCCCACATACAAGATTAAAGTATGTATGTTTATACACACAAAATAATAATTGTATATCACAAGGAAACATCTAGAAGAAAAGAGTTTAATGCTGGAAGTTGCCTTGGGTAGGGCACTCTTGGGGTTAAAATGTCAAGGAAGATCCACACTTTACTTTTTAATTTTTTAATTCATTTATTTTTATTTTATGTCTATGAGTGCTTTGCCCTCAGGTGTGTAAGTGCACCTATGCAATGCCCACAGTTGCCAGGAGAGAGAGTCAAATCTGCTGCAACTGGCATTATGTATGGTTGTTAACCACCATTTTGGTGTCGGGAACCAAACCTGGGTCCTCTGCAAGAGTAGCCAGTGCTTTTAACTGCTGAGCCACTTTCCAGCTTCCCAACATTTTATTTTTTGAAATCTGAAACTTCATGAGAGCATCTTTGTGTGTTTAATTTATAAAGCAAAGGAATTTTCTGTGAGACAGTAAATAAGTATATGATGTGAACAAAGGCAGACTTCTTCAACTGACATGAAGCAAAGAGGGTAGGCTGTCTGCCAATGGCTAGAAGTGCTCTTGTTTCCTGTGCGTCTACATTTCTAGCTCTTTAGCCCCAGCTTATTCTTCATGTGGAAAGAAAAACATCTTTTTTAGAGTATCTACTACATACATAGGGCACTTTGTAATACATGAGTATCTATTCTTCACCAAGACCTCATGGCTCAACATCACTAGATTCTGCAGACAAGGACGCATCAGCTCGATTTGGGAAAAGAAAAAGTCTGAAATTCAGATGTATCTGGAGATACATCACAAGGTCTTGATAATGCTGAACAATGTGCATAGTTATCTAGAATTATTCTTCTGTAGCATGAATAACATGTTTATACACAAAACATATAAAACATACAAGTCACTAAAGGAAAAGACAAACACCTTACTATGGAAAGAGGCACAAGAAGCAGCTAATAATAATAATAATAATAATAATAATAATAATAATAAAATCGACAAGCATAAGAAAAAGCATCTGTCTTCACAGTTATCAGTGAAATGCAACTTTAAGCAAGACAATTGTTCTTTTCTTTTTCTTTTTATTAGATTGACCATAAATAAATTAAACCTGGTGAAACAGAATGCCAGGAGTGATGTAAAGTGGTCTTGCTCACTTTGGAAAGAAAGCTGGCATTTATAAATAAAGTTATAACACACATACTCTTTGTCTTGCCATTTCCCTTTATATAATCAATTATAGATAACTGCACAGTGAGACGTAAGGTTTCCTGCTTATGTGCCCACCTACCTTCCACCTGCCTAAAATCTACTAGCACAACTGGTTGTGGTAATGAGTGACTCTTAATTACAAGTTAATTTAATTTCAGGATGTCTACCCAATGTCTGAAAATGTTTTCTGGTCATCTTAACTGAAGGAAGAAGGATACTACTAGCATGTAGTGGGTAGAGACCAAGGATGTTGTTAAACATTCTCCAGTACACAAGATACCCTTCCCAGTACAGGATTGTACAGCCCAAATGGTAAAAGTGCTGATACTGAGACTCCCTAATCTATATCTATAAGAATTACATGAACTCAGATGTCTTCAGGAAGGTCTTGTCAAAGTCAGCATAAAATGCTCTACTTATGTTTGTCTCCGAACTCAGATTTGGCTTGTTTCTATAACCAGATAATATACACAGTGAAAAGATGTTGTTCACTGCCCTCTAGACCAAAGTCACTCAAGTTCTCTCTAGCTTGTTGGGAAAATAAATAGGAGAGGATCAGAGTCTAATCCAGTCAAAGATAATGCTGCTGGAGCTGAGGTAATGCTTAAAGAACAGGCAGAAATTGTCCCCTTGAGTTTTGTTTTTTGTTTTTTGTTTTTTGTTTTGTTTTTTTTTTAAACCAGGGAAAAGGCTTATGAGAGTCCTAACCCATTAGGCCAGCAAAGCACAAGGAATATTAATAAGTAAACACAAATAGCCCATGTTGTGTTTGGATTCTGGTCTTTTTTGTCTGATCAGATAGCATTTGGATTTGAAGATATGTTTGCATAAATAGTCTTTCTGAGCATTTACCAACTCTCCTTTCAGTATGAATTCTTCTCATTTTCTGCCTTTTAAAGTCGATTTCCAATAGTGAAAAGGTGTCAGTGATAATTAAAACCTAATTCTATGCCTGCATTCATTATAAAAAAAAAGCAGACTATGATCTTTAAAGCTTTCAGAAATGTTAGTCTCCATATCTTCCCAGAATAACAGTGATTTCAAATAGATATGGTACACGGGAGAAATATCCAAAAATGCAGTGAAATTAATTGCTATTTTTAAGAAGCTGCTTAAAATGCAATCGTTAACTGACGTATTGGTGGAGACAGTTTCCACATGGGTAATAGCCTCTCTTCTCAAACACAAGGAGACAAATTTCTTGCATTTGAAAACAGAACCAAATGACGGAGAAGATCACCATGATCGGGGAATGTGGGCTATAACCTGATGGAGTTTCATGAGCTACTACTGAGCCCAGTGAGAATAGTATGTCATGAGTGGTTCTGAGAAATATGCTTCTGAGCTGTCCTGAATTTTGAAGACATCTCTGGCTTAGTGGATAGACTGTGTCTGGAGAGAACTGTCCCTCAGGGATTGATGTCCTTGGGGAAGCATGGTGTTGAGGCCAACCCTTCCTTTTCATTTGTGTACTGCATAAAGTAGAAGACAGCACTCCTAATTCCCTCCTCTGTTCCCTCACACTCACCATTCCCATGATGGGTAGGTTCCTTACATTGGAGGGTAGTAGTTGGGTCACAGTCTTAGAATTTCTGCAGACTTTCATGACCCTTTAACTCTGAGCAGTGACATGCATACACTACCCTCAACTCCAACCCTTATTCTCCTCTCTGATGTCCTTGTACTACAAGGTTGACATATTCAGAGAACATCTAAGGACTCCCTTGCCTGCCTTCTAACATCTCTTTGGATGTGATCAAATGAATATCCAGTCAGAGACTCAAGAAGGAGGAGCACGAGATGTAGGACTTGCTCCTTAGACTCTCTTTAAAGCTCCTTCCAATTGGCTCTACCCTGCCGCACACATTGCAAGTGTCTTCTGTTTGCCGCTTACTTCTGTTCTGACAGATGCTGACCTTCCCTCCACCATTTTCCCCATTATTACCTGGAGGTACCTATGTCTCCACCACCGTTAGCAGTCTCCAAGTATTCCTCTCTGTCTAGGGTTTCCCTATCCTCTACTCAAAACGTTATAAAAAGTGCCTCTTATTAGCTACCTGACTGGGTTAGTTGTAAAGATTTTTGACAAATAAAGATCAAAAATGAAAACATGAGTCAAAAAGAAAGCTGTGTGTGTGTGTGTGTGTGTGTGTGTGTGTGTGTGTGTGTGTGTGTGTACGTACGCACATTAAAAATGCCATGGTGGACTGTTTTCCAAATATGCAGTTTGAATACGCAATTCATTTCCTGAGGCAGTCAGGTTGATTTTCCAGAACCGCCCTAACCCTGATTCTACCTGGGGGATTTACATGGCCCTAGTACCAGGTACATCCAACCTGCAGCCAGTAGGTTGTATACAGACAAGGATAGGCTATGTATTCAGCCCAGCACAGAATCATAAATTTACTTAAATGATTTTCAGCAGGAACTTTGTAGATGGCAAAGTCCTGTTGTAATGTCACAAGGTTGGATGTGTTCACAAGCACTTTTAAAGTCTTTCCACAACCTATTTATGCTTGGATCAATGCACTATCTAATGTAATCCCAGCCCTTCAAGTGAGAAAGAGAATTAGAAACTAGGAGCAAGGAAAGCCAAAATGTAACACAAACACATTTTGTGGGTGGGAGAATTGAGATGAAGGAAGGCATGGAACGCAGCAAATTTTGACTTTGCTCTGTCAGACTGTGACAAATTTGCATAAAAATAACCAATTGTTTGGATTTTATTTTTCATAGGGATGGGAGTTGAGCTCAAAATTTTTCCAAAATTCCTCCTAACTTAAAATCCTAACACCATGTGTCGTGTCCCTCAAGCCAGCATTGATGGTTCAAAACTTGAAGTGCCATCATTCAAGATTCAAAAATAAGCAAACTAGCTCTGGTTATTTGTAGTGTTGTTTTATTTTACTTTTTTTAGTCTTTGCCTAAGGCTTTAAAACAAGAATCCCTGCCCTTTAACTACAGGGTATGTGCCAAATCATGGTGGGTCCTTGCATTCAGTTTCTTCCCAGAACAATATATGTAATTTGGTTCTCCTTTTCCCTTAACTCTTCCTTCTCTTCTCCTCTGCCGCAACCACCACCAACACATCTTTCTCTTCTTCCTCACCTCCCCCTTTTCCTTTTCATTATTTGGCAAAGAATTCAGTGGCATCATCTCTGTGATACCACAGAATAAGCCACCAGATGGAAGAGCTTAGACACATGACTTCCAGCGCAACTCAGCCCCTCCTCCTTGCAACAGATCAAGTTACTTTATTTAAATTTTACACCCCCCTCATGAATCTCAGTTGGAATTGTAAAAGAAAAAAAAAAATGTCCACAAAGAGGCTTCCTATTTCTTGGGTTAAAAAACTCAAGTTATTGCTTGTCCCATAAGCAGGTCTTTAGCCTGGATTATAATTTTAGAAAGCAAGCAATTGAATTACAAAGTTCAGGAGTCTTCATACAAGCCGAGCTCAGCAGCCCAGCTTCAGGTAGGAGATTTCCCCTGACGTCTTCTATGTAGAAGTCCTCCTCCTCCTCTTCTTCCTCTTCCTTCTCTTCCTCCTATCCCCATCACAGTTATCCTATATAAATGAAATTTCTTGCATAGAAAGTACTAAAGAGAAATGCTGTGCTTCCAGGGTCCATCACAGCTGCTTTTGGATCTAGGAAAGGAAGTTTGGGAGAAAGTGCAAGCTCAGGCTTTCCCTGACTTTGAGAACAGCTCAGTCTTGGGGTATAGAAGAGTCGTATGAGCTTCCAAAAATTTTAAATAAATGTCTAACATTCTCATATCTAGCCCTTCCAGCTGTTCCTCAGAAGGAGACATTAATTACTAGGAGTTAAAAACTATATTCACCCCATCTTTATGATCTGTTCCAGAAGAAACTCAGGGACTTCACCATATTGATATTCTACAGAATGACTTCAAGTTGGCTGTGTAAATGTGTCCCTCAATCAATACTCGTTAAGGTGATTTTACGTACAGGAACACTTAAATAACTAAATCAATCTACCATGTAGAATGAGAGTGACTAATGATAGAGAAACCAAGAAAAATACCCTTGAGAGGTTAGAATAAGGATTGTCATGTCTTAACTGACTCAAAAACGAATTCTTAATAGCCTCATACAGCACCATTTTTAAAGTTTAATATGTGCTTTCAATCATTTTCGCAAGCTTTTAATAAAATTTGTTGGTTGCTTTTTTATTAAAATACCCCTATCTGAAGCCAGGCTGCTGGGCTCTGCTTGTATGGGGGAATTATGCAACTTTGTATTCCAATTGCTTGGTTACTAATACTGTACAGTCCAAACTGAAAATCTGCTTATGGGACAAACAATTTCTTGCTTCTTACAACCCAAGGAGTAGGAGATTCCTTTATGGACATTTTCTTCCTTTTGCAGTCTCAGCTGAGATTCGTGAGAGGCATAGGCTTCAAATAAAATGGCCTGATCTGTTGGAGCAGGAAGAGCTGAACTTGCTCTGGGAGTCATGTGTTTAAGCTCTTTTTCAAGTACCATTTAGTATCAGATTAGAAGAGTCACACTGAAAGGGTCACACTTGGAAGGGAAGAAGAGAGGTAGAGTGAGCTCAGAAAGAAATTATCCAGGTTAGGGACAGTATGACAAGAGATGCTTTAAAGGTGACTGAAGAGCTGTGCAGCAGGGTGGGTTTGGTATGTAGAAAGAAGTACCCTGTATATGCTCAGCAGCTCTCAAAGGAATCATAATATTATTAGAGGGGAGTAAAAAGTAGGGAAGTAAAAAAGAATTCTAAGTGATCAAAAAGTGAATTATCTCAAATGCTCTGGTAAGGAAGGTGTAGAAGACCCAGTGTATCTCTTGTATCCCCCTCCCACATCTTCCATCCCATATTCTATTCTTCATTGCCTTCAGTGCAAAGGTGAAATCCCACCATAGTTTTTGGACATATTGTCTTCTGCTCTATACAAAGGGGGTCTCTTAATCTCTTGTGTCTTGTGTACCACTCTAGTTCTGTGTCAAAATGGCTACCCCTTCAAATGGTTTAGTTTTAATTTATGAGGAAAAAAAATCAATGATCAGAAATGTAATTTTTTTAATGATCTCTATAAATATGCTTCTTTTCTTCTGGGAAGAGAATATTTATTTGTTTGTTTGTTTATTTATTTATCCAAAAGGAATGAATGAAAGGAAGGTCCATGGTTCCTAACAACTAGGGTAAATAATACACATGGCAGTCACACAGTTTTCTTGAAATATTGCTGTCTTTGTTCCAGGGGCCTAGGGTTTAACTTTCTCCTGCTCCAACAACCAGTTTCTTTACTGTTATTTCTGCTACTTTTCCTCACACAACAAAATTATGGAGTGTGAAATACCTCCTGCCTCATCTCTTTAAGTTATTATTTACATATTTTTAAAGTAAGTAGTAATAGAAAAGTGAGTTAAAACCCAAGCAACGGTTCAGGCTCTGGAAGCATTGGGGATAAAAGGAATTTTTCACAAAATTGGTGGATGGTCAGTGAAATTGCCTCCCACACCAGGCAATAAGTTTTCTTTTTTTCTTTTTCTTTTTTTATTTACTGGTCTAGTCAATTAATTAGTTATAAGATTTTCAAAGCTAAGTTTTAGGTATTTCTATTGCTCTTCTGAACAGTCAATTTTATTGATAACTTTGCCAAGATATTGACAGAGTTATGGGTTGTTATTTATTATTTATTAATTTTTAAATTTATTTATCTTTATTTTGATGTGTATGAGTGTTTTATCTGCATATATGAAAGCTCACTATGTTTGTGCAATGCTGTCAGAAGCCAGAAGAAGGAATCAGATCCCCTGGAACCGGAGTTATGAACAGATGTTAGCCACCATGTGGGTCCTGGGAACCAAACCCAGGTCCTTTGCATAAGCAACCAGTGCTCTTAACCACTGAGCCATCTCTCCAGCCTCCAGCCCCATTTCACTCTTATTGTTAATCATTTTTTCATCTAAAATTATCAGATTTCTCTTACTTCAAATGTAACTTTAAGGGCCAATAAGGATTCTCTGTTTATTTGCATCACAAACTGATCTTGTTCTCTTTTATTTAGTTTTGAAAAAACAGAAAGGTGTGTGTGCATGTGTGTGTGTGTGTGTGTGTTTGAGAGAGAGAGAGAGAGAGAGAGAGAGAGAGAGTTTATAGACAATTTCAGTCTCTTCTGTAATTATTTTCTATTTCAATTTATTTCTTTTCTTATCGTCTTCATTTGCATTTATCTCATCCCCGAAGTTGGTTTTGGGTTTTCAGTCTTAAATTGACAGAGCGGTTTACTGTTATTGCTTTTTACTTAATAAGGAATTGACTTGCCATTATCCATGGAGTACAGCTTGGGCAGTATAATATGTATTTATGATAAAATATTCTTAGTTTTTGTCTATATTTAAATAATTGATAATTTAGAGACAATTAGTCTTTTTTATATTTTATTTATTTATTTTGTGTGTATGAGTGTATTGCCTGCATGTATGTAATTACACGAGTGTCCTGCAATGCTTACGGAGGTTAGGGGAAGGTCAGATTTTCCTGGAATTGGAGCTACGGATGGTTGTTAGCTGCCATGTGGGTCCTGGGACTCAAACCTGGGTCCTCTGCAAGAGGAGCCAGTGCTCTTAACCACTGAGCTATCTCGCCAACCCTGAGACCATTATTCTTTGACTCAAAATTTCTTTTGAGTGAGAAATTTTTATTTTCATTGTTGTTTGCTTTTGTTTTTATTTTTAGCTCTTTACATAGTTTATCTTAAAAATATTTACTTTAGGGAGTTTATTGTGCTTATTTCTGCAGCTTAGAGCAAGGTAAAATTTTATAAATCTTCCATGGAAGTTTAAAGATCTTATTATTTTAGTAACATGTACCCACTACCAAGTGCAATGGCCCATGTCTATAAGCCTAGCATTTGGGAGGCAGAGGTAAGGAGGACCGTGAGATTGAAGCTAGTCTAGTCTACGCAATCACACTTTATCTCAAAAAATATATAAATAATAGATTTACCCAAGTATTTACTGCTTTCAATCTATCTTATCTGCCAATGTTAAGAGAGTTGTGTTACTGTCTCTTCAAACAAACGTGTTTCTACAAATTTGCCATTTTATTTTTAACATTTTTAGCTTTACATATTTTGATGTGTTATTCAGAAAATAAATTTTCATGACTATTTTATCTTCACTGGGGACTGTAAAATGACACTCTTTGTCTCCTTTGATGTTATTTGGCCTGGAATAGTTTGTTTGAATTAATGTTGCCAGCCCTGTTCCCTTTGTTTTTGCATTTACCTGATAACATTTTTAAAAAATGCAGTTTCTTTTCCACTTCCTCTGTTTTTTGGTTTTATATAGTACCAAGCACAGATGTTCTATTGAACACAGTAAGAGAAGCTTAGAATTTTCAGTTGTTGGGAAATACTAGCAAATGTAAATAATCTTTAAAGATAATATAAAACTTTGCATTGGCATCCACAGCACAGCATCTAAATGGCTTTCTCAAGGAGACAGAGTTTGAACTGCAGCCTCTGGCTTCATGTGATTCCTGGTATGGGTTGGAAAGCCTTGGTGAAGCCAGGCTCTGGACTGTGCATGCAAAAGAACCCTGAGAATACCAAGAAGTTAGACAAAGAAACAGTATACCACAACTATGTAAGGTCTTGGTGTTCACAGTACTAAGACTATTAGATGTGTTTCCTGTGTTTCTTCCCAATGCATCTTCTTGACTCTCAGAAAACTGGATAATCTCATGTTGTAGATGTTTGATTACACCCTCTGATCCCTGGCAGGTTCAGTCAAGGTCTTTGTCCCAGTACCCAGAGGCATCGCCAGGCATCAATGCCATATGTGGAGAGATCTGCTCCAAGCACTGTGAATATGCTTTAGCCACGTGTGCCTCAGTTTCCCCTTTTGTAAAATAATGATTGAATAAGGCATAGAGCATTTGTAAATTGCTAGGAACAATCTCTTGGCACACAGCAGCCAATGAAAGAGTGTTGCTACTCACTGACTTGATCATCTTGTTTTACCGTTCCCTCTTAGAATGGTATATTTTTGTTTATTTATTGGCCTACTCTTTTTCAGTCATTTGAAAGGAATTCAATTCTTTTAAAACTTCACTTTGGACTACTTTGGTATATTTGAATATTTTCCCCCTCTGGTTTTTAAGATTTACTGTCAATTATTACCCCCTTCTAAGATGAGCAGTTCAGCATGCCGATGCTTTTCATCCCAATCTCTCAACTCATTTTCTATTTGATTAGTACTGTATAATTGAGAACATCTCCTGAGAATTATAGTCATTTGCATTCAAATTAGGAGGATATTTACAGTTTTGACTTCAGAGTAATGTTTTCTTTTCTTGTAAGATCGCCTTTGAAGCCATTATTTCCCCATTCTTGAGTCACATTTTAGGTCAGACCCTTGTCATAGACAGCTCATAGTAGGTTCTTTCAATTAAGAGCTTATGGAAAGCCTATTTAGAAAATTTT